TCATACCAACATGTTGTGTCCTTGTCTCTCCATCATCCTTCCTTCTTTCTTTCTTCTTTCCTTCTTTGAAATGTCAATGTTGATGGGTCCCTAATCACTCTCTCAAATATCGGCGTGCATATGGCAAGCTCATAGATGCACATATACGCACATACAAAGGTGTGCGTAAAGTGCATGTATGTTTATATATATTTCTTGGTCCTATTATAAGACCGCTTTTAAAAAATCCTTATGAAAACACTTTGATAGTTTCAATAACTATTAAATATTTGTTTCATAGATGCTCATATTTAATACGGGTAATGACAGAATAGAAATTAATATGACATTAGAATTTATACGGTCAATGAAAGTAATACTACCTCCGGTCCTCAATATAAGACCCTGTTTGACTTTTATTTTGGTCCTAAATATAAGACCCCAATCCACTTTGTTTCTCATATTTATATACTCCTCTGATCCTTAATATAGGACCCAATTGTTAAGTTGGTTTTGGTCCTAAATATAAGACCCATTTCTCATATTTATCAATTTTCTCTAAATTACCCCTATAGATACTCCCTCAACCATATCAAGTAAAAGAGGAAAATAGAGTATTAAGAAAGATGATTGGTATTTTAGGAAAAACGTGTCACATTTCTTATAATAACTAATTTACCTAACTTCCTTAATCTAATCAAATTAGTTAAATGGGTCTTCTATTAAGGATCGGAGGAGTATTTTTTTCAAAGTAGCGCTTCTAACAATAATAGTTCTAGTCAATACATTTGATTAGCAAAAATATTTTAAGAAAGACAACACTTATTTAAGACAAATAACTAACTCAACTTACTTTCTTAATCTCCTCAAATTAGTCAACTGACTCTTATAATTAGGACCGGAAGTAGTATTAAAAATCACTTGAATTTTTTTAAAAATTTAATTTTTTTAATTTTTTATTGATATATACATAAATTAGTTGGAAGATTCTTATCATAAGAATAGGAGGGAAAGTGTGTGTGTGTATACATATATGTATGTATGAATATAGTGTTTGAGAGGGAAATGGAATGGAGAAGCATCATATCAAGCTTTATACATGTCTTTGTCAGACAATGCCATTCCAAGAGGTGTTGCCTATTGCAACGAAAAAATTGGGTGTAAACATACTTGATAAGTTTTGTTTTATCTCATTTATTTCTTTTCCATCCACCTCTCATTGCATTATACTAAATTGATAACATTTTCATGAAAGAGGTTTTATAATTGGGATTTTTTTGGGGGAAAATTCCAGAAAAGGTCCCTCGAATATATAAAATCCCAGATTGGGTCCTGGAATTTTCAAAATGACAGAAAGGGTCAGTGACCCAATCTGTCATTTGGCAAATCAAGAGGAATTGACAATTTTGCCCTCATTTGTATTCATTCACTACAATGATTTAAAGAATCACTATAAGGGTTTAAGCATTACCTAGATTCATGTAGCGAATAACTACTCGCTTTTTCATATTCAGGTGTCTTGTTATTAACTACAACTAATTTTGTAATCATTAGAACAATGTAAGTATTACATAGATTCGTGTAGAGAATAACTACTCACTTTTTTATAGTCAGGCACCTTATTATTAACTACAACTAATCTTGTAATTATTAATTACAACTAATCTTGTAATCACTAGAACAGTATAAGCATTATCTAGATTTGTGTAGAGAATAACTACTCACTTAGTCAGGAGTAAAATTGTCAATTGGTCTTAATTTCACAAATGACAGATTGGGTCACTGACTCTTTCTGTCATTTTAGAAATTCCAAGACCCAATCTGAGATTTCATATATTCAAGGGACCTTTTCTGAAATTTTTCCTTTTTTTGGGGCGTGAGATATTTAATAAAAAAAATTATTATAAGTGAAATATATTTATCTAGTTGAAATTTACCTATATTTAAAGAGGGAGGGGGTACTATAATATTAATATAGCATGTCGTTGAATATTTAAAAATAAAATAAAATAATACGCACGCACTTTATTGAGGGATTCTACAGGGTCAATAAAGTTAAGTGTGAGTCAGGCAAAAAAATAAAGTTGAGTGTGAGAACAGAACATTAATTCAACCAATAAGGCATCGACAAGATTCCTACATGTTAGGCCGTTCTCGCTGGTGGATTGACCATAAATAGCCGTCACCACTGCAATTTAATTATTGTCCTCATCGGAATCTTAATATGCATATAATTCTCAAATATATGATTGGAGGGATATAAATTTTATAAATTCTTATAAAATCATTTAAAAAATTTTAAATTTTCACTGTCAAGAATTTCATACATTTTTATCTAATTATTTAAAATCCAATACAATAATTTATCTAATTAGGTCAGATTATTGATTCATACTCGAATTTGCCTAAATTTAAATTGATTTTTTTTTCCTAGACGCGAGATAGAATTTAACTTACCTTTATTTGTATAGGTACAACAACAGCACATCGAAATAGAACATGAAAAGTGGTAAATAAAAGTTAGTTTTTAATTAAGATTGACTATTAGATATCAGATAATCATATAAAAAATAATTTGTGTGATCAAAATTAGGATTTGTGTTGGGTAAATAATAAGAATTTCATTGGATGAGAGAATTATAGAAAGGAGATTATATTTAGAAATATAGTTAGGATTGGCTTTTGAAAGATCCATAAAATAAAAAAGAGAAAGAAATCTAACATCATTATCCATTGAAAAGGTGCTTTCTTTTCGGCCCAATGAATCAAATTCATTCAAATCCCCCTGTACGCTCATTAATTATCCTTGCCAATAAAATAATTAAGTACAAAATCCCTCATAAATCAAATCAACTTGCCCTTTAATCTAATCACATCATCTTCCAATCCCTAATTTTTTTAATTAATTAAATCCTCCCACTTGCAATCAATGGTCACAATCCAAACAGTAAATTATTTGAAGCAACTTGAATTTGAAATGTGTGATATAACATGATATCATACGACAAAATAATAATTGAGACCCAAAAAGGTGAATGAATCCTCCCTTTTGTTTTGTATAATAACAACAATATGAACCTGTGAATGCCACGTTTCTCTATGATATTCCATTTTTTCATACATATGCGCAAAAATATCTTTTTGACTAATATATAAAGAATACATATTATTGCTGTATGAATCTCATGCCCTACCATCAATTTTCTTTTCCCTTTTTCTGTTTTCCTTTTTTAGATATGGATACTAACATGCTAGCCTGGTCATTACAAGTATTTCAAATTTATATTTATTAACAAGCTGTTAGTTAAGACAATAAGTAACCTCACCCACATAAAAAGAAAAACACAAATTAAAATTTTTGAAAGTGCACTTTGATGTGAGAAATAAAAGCCGAAAACTTTTTACGTTTATGCCTTAAAAAGGAATTAATCTCAAACTCAAAATATCTTGAAAGATACCTTTTTAAATTAAAAAAAATCAAATTCATATTTTACAAATAAAAAGTATCATGTTAGACCTAATATAGCTTTTAGAAATCAAATGACATTCATCAAAGACATTAGTTTTTTTTTTTCAAGAGAGCAGAGACTAAAAGGAAAACTTTGTAGCCGTTGTTACTCTTATGATAGATAGTACTCATTCGATTCTTAATATAAGACATAATTAACTAATTTAAATAAATTAAAAATATTAGTTAAATTAATTAATATGATATGTTTTTCTAAAACACTGTAAGCACTTTTTTAATTCCTTATCTCCTCCTCTTATTTGATTATTATTAAAAAAATATCAACAAGGTTAATTTTAAAAAATTTGATAAACATATGAAATAAATCTTATACATATAGTTAATGTCAACTCCATCGTCATGGAAGTCCTGCATTAAGCATAAGAAAAAGAATATTATGAAATGAAATTTTGTCTGTTATCTTAGATGCTAAAAAGACGATCTCTGGTCAAAAAAAAAAAGCTAAAAAGACGATAAACAGATAACGATGTAAATAATCCATTTCGCTGAGGGCATTAATGCAAATTAAAGGTTGTTCATGAGGGGGAGGATCACAAAATAAGAGTATCTGTCTATCTATCACTCTCTCTCCCTTGTTGTGTAATGCTGACGATCATTCTGAATTTTGATGAATGGGCTCAGATTCGCCTTCCCCCACCTGCAAGCAATCATTCAAAAGGCTCAAGTGAAACCAAGACAAAAAAACAAAAGATGACAATATTATTAATGATATGAAGATCATCTCCGAAACTTGCAAATGACAGAGAAGCAGAGTTTTTTTTTTTTTGCCCCAAATTTTTGTGGATGTCGCAAGCCGTGAGAATTAAGAGTCCCATCACCGAATTATTAGGATATGTCTAAAATTAGTCAAAATCAAGTTCATGACTTTCCCCGTCCTTCATGAAACTTCTCCATTGACAAGATGAGCCAACAAGAAGGAAGAGAAGACACAGTAGTTCAGGATCAAAATATCTGTCCTAAGATTTTCACGATAAAGTGTAAAGGGTTGTGATGAGAATATCTCGTAAGAATTTAGCCTTCGAATTTAATGCACACACATTAATTATTAATTCAAATTTAAATCTATTTTTTTCAGGGGAAAAAAACCATCATACGTGCACATTTTGCAAGATCGACCCTTCTCTGAGGATTTAAGTTCAGGTGAATTTCAAATTGAGATAATTAAAGCTGTTTTCCCTAATTATGATTTAATTATTTGTAAATAAATTAGAGTGATGCATGATTAATTAACACAAGGAAAGTTACAATTTTTCGAAAAAGAAATCCTGAAATGAGAGAATGAAAAGTAGAAGACGTGTATCGAACAAGTGTTTTGTTTCCTAACAGTACTGTGACTCAACTAACTAATTTTGAGCCACGCTTTCATAGAAAAATCTGGAACTTAACGGCTCCCGTTCTCCTCTCACTCTCTCCTCCATCCACTGACAAATAATACTATATTGACTATTTATATTTTATACTCAACGGCGTTTCATATCTTTCTTTCCAACATATTTTCAGAATCTTCTCTCTCTCCGCGAGCCACAAAATCCCATCAAAGTTTACTCTTTTGCGCCTCCAAGTTGCAGCTGAGCCGAGCCCCTACCCCCGTCACCGCCTGCTTGTTGCGTCACCATGTGTTTACAAGACGCCGAGCAACTTGGCGCCGATATGGAGAACCCAGACGATAGAAGGAGCTCTTGGCCTTTGCATTGTGACCTTCTTCATACCCACATGGAAAAGGAACCTCCTCTTAGAACTTGCGGCGATCAGAGTTTTGGTTTTGGGAATTCATTCCCGGTAAGTCGTGTTGGGTTTTCTTCTTTTATTTGCTGTGTAGAGACGGCTTCCTCTCAAGGTTTTCTTCATGTTTTTCCGTCCTACGAGGCCTGTTTCTTCTGCCTTTTACTGGTGTCTTCTTTGCCCTGAGCCTTCCTATCCTTGGGGATATTTTCTCTCTTCATTGTTTGTGTTTCTTCCTGTATTATTAAACGAGATTTTGTATCTACTCTGAAATTCGAAATTGTTCTGGATTCGCGGTCGTTATGACCCTGTAATCTTTGAACTTGGTCTCGAAATCATCTGCTGCTGCATCTTGGATGCAGAATTGTTCAGCTTTTGACACTTTACCGTTAGTTTGAATTGGACAGTGTGTATGGTGCTTTTCCTCGTCTTCAACAACATCCTTTTCATTAGCTTAGTTTTTTAGCTCCCTTTTTACGGGTCATGTTATAGACTATTTTCTAATTACTTTTTGAATTTTGCATTGCTTTTTTAACTCTGTTATATATTTCCGTCCATATATAGGACTATTCTTCCTAGTGGTTTATGCTTCTTTATGTCTCTTCCTTTAAAAATCCTTCCATGCAAATGAAATATGAATGAGTATCGTGATTTCTATCTTCTGCTTATAGTTCAAACGTCATAGAACTTTTGCAGTCTCCTATATTCGTGACAGAGTCATTTAATAATGGTTTGATCTAAGGCTTGTAGGGATCGTAAAAATCCTCAGATTTGATCGTCAAAGACTAGCTGATCCTATTGATTATTAATGATTAAAGCTAACTAGAGAAAGGTTGTTGAATGTGTTATTAATTCTTAATTGTTGGCATAATTTGTTGTTTCTCCTTGTAATTATGCCTTTTCGGAGAAGATTGATGCAAATTGCTTTTCAGCTGGAAAGCATAAGTGAGGACACGGTGATTGCAGACAAGAAACAGAACCACATAAACTTTGCCCCTGCTCTGCGATCTGGAGAGTGGTCAGATATCGGAGGTCGCCCTTATATGGAAGATACTCACATATGCATTGGAGACTTAGGAAAGAAGTTTGGTTATGATGTACTCAGTGAGGAAGTTATTTCCTTTTATGGGGTAAGCCATCTAACCCATTAGGCTTGTTTTCTGTTATGGCCATGAACTTCAATTTTAACTCTTCTGTTAATGTCCTGATTTTGTAACAAGTGTACGAAAAAGTTTCAACAATCCTTGATCCATCACTAAATATGGGACTGGCAAGCAAAACGGATCTTGCTTCAATTATGACTTGTGAAGGACTTTTTAAGTAATCAATAATGGAGTATTGAGTTGTAAAACGATATGTGCGTGTTAAATTTTATTGAGAAGAAATGTTTGTGATCACTGACCTTATATTGCCATTGTTAGTGGCTTATCTTGTGTGTTTAGTAATAAATATGGAAAAACTAGAGCTCTTCTTGATTAAGAATGTTATACAAAGCTTTTGAAGGGGGAAATAACGGGAATTACAACCCTTTTCCTGGATAAGAACCTAGATTCTGTGCTGTATTTTAATTTAATGTTAAGTTGAAAAACTACTGGGTATTCTTTATTTCTCATCCCAACACTATTAGAAATCTATAACCTCTGGAGTTGTAGTTGCACAGCCATTTGTAAGTATAGAGTGACACAATATGGAAAAATCAGCTGGATTTGTGCTTGTTTCATGATCTCAATGTGAGGAATCTTTATAAAGTAAATTACTATTTTTGTCCCCGAAAGATTATTAGCTAGTCTCAATTTCGTCCCTTGATAATTAATTTTCCAATCATTTCCCTCCATTGACAGGACTAAATGAATAAGTTCAGCTCATGCCTTTAAAAGATAGAGGTATGAAAGTGTGGAGAAAATATTATTGGGGGACTAAATTGAGAGGGTTACCCTTTAGAGACCCAAATTGAGAAGTTAGTCCATCTTTTAGGGATGGAAACAATAATTTACTTTATACACACACACACACACACACACAAACACGCACACGCACATCATGGCTGCTTTCTCTTGTAGCAGCTTTCATTGTATAGCAATGGTGAGGTCTTACTTGATGAATGAAGGTAAAGCGATGATGCAAAACACAAAATTTTAATCTTGAATGAAGAAGGGTATGCATCCCTTTGTTGAGATTTCAACATGCAAATTGAAAATGGTTTGATTTACAGGTATTTGATGGGCACGGAGGGAAGAGTGCTGCAGTATTTGTCCGTGATCATCTTCCAAGAGTTATTATTGAGGATGCTGATTTTCCTGTGGAGCTAGAAAAGGTGGTCACTAGGTCATTTTTACAGACAGATGCTGCATTTGCAGAGACATGCTCCCTTGAGTCTTCATTGTCTTCTGGTACAACTGCATTAACTGCAATTATTTTGGGGAGGTAAGAACATATATCCTTTCTTCTCACCCCTTCTAAACATGGCGGAAGTTTCCATCCCATATTTGTGGAACGAAATTTTCATGTGATGGGAGAACTAAACGTGTTAAATACCCGGTGGAGCATGTTATTCTGATTTAATTTGGGACTTCGTATCCCATACTGCCAAGTCTCCATAGCGTAGAAAATGCAAAGAACAGATGTCAAATGAGATACTATCATACACCCTCTCTGGTGTATCGTCTAACCGTTGTAACTAGATGAAGCGCCATACCTGGTGTCATCAGGGTGTTGAATGCATTGATCATTGTTTCCTACAGGTCTTTGCTAGTGGCCAACGCTGGAGACTGCAGGGCTGTTTTGTCCAGACGTGGAAGGGCTATAGAAATGTCAAAAGATCATAGGCCCTTGTGCATGAAAGAGAGGAAGCGAATTGAGTCTTTAGGCGGATTCATCGATGATGGTTATCTGAATGGCGAGTTAGCTGTCACGCGGGCTCTAGGCGACTGGCATCTCGAGGGCTTGAAGGAAGTGAGTGAAAGAGGAGGACCCTTATTAAGTGCTGAGCCAGAACTCAAACTAACCACACTGACCAAAGAGGATGAGTTTTTGATAATTGGAAGTGACGGAATCTGGGATGTGTTCAGCAGCCAAAATGCTGTAGATTTTGCAAGAAGGAGGCTTCAAGAACATAATGATGTGAAACTATGCTGTAAAGAGATGGTGGAGGAAGCCATAAAGAGAGACTCAGCAGATAACTTAACTGTTGTGATGGTTTGTTTTCACTCAGAACCACCACCACCTGTGGTGGCAGAGAGGCCAAGATTCGGAAGAAGCATATCTGCTGAGGGACTCCTGAATCTCAAGTCCTCCCTTGAAGGATAGAATATTTTTTTTGTCTGCGACATAGCTGATATTTTTTTTCCCCTGAGATGTGACTGTGTAAATATATTAATTTATCGCGCACAAAAATATGCCTCCCTGCATCTCTAATGAATGATGTTCAACCTTGTCATGGGGTTGGGAAAGGTACTGAGAATGTGATAAAATTTATACTGCATTATGATTATCCTTTCCTGTTAGTTAATGGGAAAGCTATATTTGAGACAGTGTACAGAAACAAGTACTGTTCTAATTTTTTTTCTTGGGTTCAGGATTAAATCATTGTAGGATAATTTTTTTGGAAATACCAAGATTGGATCGGATTGGATCACCAAGTCGTAATCTTTGATGTCTTTAATTTGATTTTCCTGGTAAAGTTGAACAGATTTTAATCCTCCTCTGTTTAATTTTACAGTATTGTTATCAGTCAAGGTGTTGATCCAGGATAGATCAGGCAAGAATCAGAAGAAATGGGCAGTTCTAAAATAAGCAGTTCAGTTATAATGTTGGAGCATCACAAACTGTCTTGTTATCCGATGCACAGAAAGGGCACAGAGAAATTAAAAAGAGAGTACTGGGGAGCTGGTGGGATCATCACTCTTAATCATATGAAAAATCAAATCAACTAAGTAAATGATAACTACTGAAAAAAGCATGTTAACATTTTACCCACACACTTCCGTAAAACATAAATGTTTTGAGTCTTAAAATTAACAAGGTCCATATAAACAAACCATTAGATTAACAATCCGGCAGGAGTATTTAACTAATTTAAATAGATTTACTTAAATAAATTACTTAATTTTAATAAAATTAGTATGATTTTTTAAAATATCTGTGTATAATAATTAGATTATATATCACTATATACTCCTCCGGTCCTTAATATAGGACCCAATTCTTGAGTTGGTTTTGGTCCTAAATATAAGACCTATTTCTTATATTTATCAATTTTCTCTAAATTATCCCTATGGATACCCCTTCAACTATAATCAAGTAGAAGAGGGGAATGAGGTATTAAGAAAGATGATTATGGTGTTTTAGGAAAAATGTGTCACTTTTCTTATAATTAACTAACTTACCTAACTTCCTTAATATAAACAAATTAGTTAAATGGGTCTTATATTAAGGACCGGAGGAGTATATATTTATCAATCAAACAAATTAGTTTGGAGAAAACCGATAGCTATAAAAGATAAAATAAAGTAAGGTTTTAATATTTGATGTCAAAATCAACTCTCTAATTATATTAGAGAATCATATACTAATAATAGATATTTTTCTAAATGTCGTTCATTCTTCTCAATGTAAATATATTTTTAAGCATTACTGTTTAAATATAAATTAAGAATATCAGCATACCTTTTTTGTGGACTGAATAAACATCAAGCAAAATAATCTCGAAGAATTTTTTTTTAAAAAAAATACTGCTATCTATTTTTAACTTTTTCATAAGCCATTTTAAATAACTTATTTTTTTTAACAACAAACACGTTTTATTAATGAAAATAAACATGCAACACAGCTGACAAGATCAGATACAAGAGTGTCAAATTATTCATGCCTACAGGTGATGCGCGTGGTTTAACTTAAATTCTCCCTCACAACTTTCTCATATTTACCTTAATTAAATGTATCCACATTTAATGCAGGATTAATTCCAATATAAGATACTTTTGCTTTTCCCCAAAAATATTACACTTGTTTAATCTTTAACAAATACGCATGGAGAGTAACATAAATGACCGATTTTTTTTTTTCTTGTTGGCTCAATAAAAATAAATATTACCTCTTATCCTAATTATAAAACTTCTTCTATAGACTATAAATGAGATCTTATACTTAAAAACAGAGTTAATAATTCTTAACCTTACAAATCACATTATATATATATATTAAACTGAAAAATTTTGGTGTTTGTTTTGACTTTGAAACTAGGATTTCAATACTTTCTCTTCCCCCCCCCCCCCCGGGACCAGCGATTTCAATACTTTCTCTACATGTATACATAGACGCACTGATACATATATACGTACCCACACTGATAAATGAAGACAAACTTATTTACTTCAATATAAGCCCGTGCCACCATATGACATGTGGCATGGTACATAACCAGAGTCTCAGATACACGCCGGAAAAGTGAAAAGACGCACAAATAAAGTTAAAAGCGGAAGAAACCTCTGCTGCCTACCGAAACAGAGCTAGGGCTTGGCCAGGCTACTGGCCACAGCGAATGCTTCCATGCTTATTTCATACATCATACTGCTTCGTGCCGTTCAACATGGGTGATGGTGTCCATGGGGGTGGTGGTGTGGCCCCGGACCTGGTCCGCCTGGTCCGCCGGGAGGAGGCCCGCCGGGGCCAGGAGGAGGAGGGCCGCCGGGGCCCGGTGGAGGAGGGCCACCAGGACCTGGTGGAGGAGGGCCGGGGTTGGGAGGTCCCGGTGGCCCTGGTGGGTGGTGGTGAGGGCCTGGACCGCCTGGCGGTGGAGGGTTGTGCATCTTCTTCTTCTTCCTGTTGCTGTGCTGAGATTGAAGATATGGATACGGAGAAGCCACGAATGTCTATTTATATAGATGTTGACAGTGACGAGGCATTTTAGACATGGTCTGTGGGGTTAGCTGGGTAGACTGGTAGTTGGGTAACTAAAATTCGTGGATGTCTCTAGATCACCCCAAAAAATCATTAAAAAGAATATTATCTAAGTTTACTTAGTGATGAAGAATACAGTCTATGAAGTGGCAAGGTTACCCTGGTCGGCAAGAAATAAAGGTCCAAGGCTGTCTTGTTCTTGTGGTGGTTTACATCATAAGAGAGATAATAGCAATAAATATCCATTTCTTTTACAAACCTCGCCTGCCGACATCATCTTCCTAGGCTATAGCAACCTACCTTCCCCCGTCTTGTTGTCACTGATTTGCCGGTCTCTTTCTGTCATCGCCATCATCATCATCTTCTTCTTCTTCTCGCTGACATATTGCTGAGCCTAACTCGTAAACAAACGCTCACGTTGAATCATGTATTATATCTACCACATTCTATATATATATGTTCGACATATTTTATATTTGGACTGGCCTTTTTAACTAATTAACTACTGGAAAATCTTCAGTTAACTGCTAGGAAAAACAAATAAAGAAAGCTTTAGGAATCGTGATCTATAGCCTGGCCTAGGCCTAGCCCGTTTAACAAACGGGCCAAGTCAACTGCGGAAATCAGTGCCATAAAAGCGGGCCTTGAGCTCTGCCAGCGTCTACAGTGCACTAACGCCAGGATATACACAGACTCTATAGAAGTAATCAACATATTGCTTAGGAATGGTGACCTCGCCCACCCGTTCCGAGAAGAGATAGCAGAGCCCAGAAATCTTTTGCTGAGCAGCGAGAATTTCAGGTTGTTCCACACTAGAAGAGAAAACATTGAACATGCTGACATCTTAGCAAGGGAAGTTCACGCAGAGGACCTTCAGATAAGGCTGCCACCCGAAGTCACCAATAGTTGCAGGGACCGTGTCTCTCTAGACAAGATTTTGATGAGCACAATGCTCACGTTGGATAATAGTCTCCTTCAACTTATTGTCTGCAATTAATTATTATAAATATATTACAAACTAAATTTTATATTTGGAATCAGAAGTAATCTTATTATTGTTTTCATGGTTCATTAAATAGTTCCATTCTGAAAGTTTCTCTTTGGCATTTGAAATGCCACTAATTAAATTATATTAAGCGCATTTCAATTGATAGATGAGGGCCTATGTTCATCATGCATACCTACCTACCTAGGAATTTTGAATGCCATTCATGTATGTGTATGAGCTGTGATGAACTTTGTAATTTTGTTTCTTTTGATTCCTCCAAACTGTCCCTCTCTTTACTCCTTTGCTTGCCCTGTTTTGTTGATAAGAATAAGACTATAGTGGGGCAAATCATACCAAATCCTTATTAATGTTAATGGTTTAGGCTTGTTGGTTTCAAATTTTTCATGGTCTTTTTTCTGTCGTCGTTATCTATTTATTAGACAAAATTCACGCATTCACTGTACCTATAAAAAGTCATATTCACAATCTTTTATTTAGACCAAGACTTAAGGAGGTGTTAATGTCAATTTTTTTGAATTTATCAAATTGGTTAGGCTCAGATAATTTGCAAATAATAATATAAATATATATTATGACAAATATTCTATGAACGCCTGAAATTAAACATTAAATTGATGTCTTTTTTATCTTTAAAATTTAAAGTTGGTAATTTTAGTCTTATTTCAGAGATAAAAACATTGTTTTATATTAAAGATAAAAAATCTCCAGACGGATTAAAATAATATTAAATTTTATAGACCAAAAACCACTAATTTTAAACTTTAGAAATTAAAACTAAAACGAGATCAAGTTTTAAGAATTAAAAAAATATATTAACCCTTAAATATTAAACGTAACGCAAACAAAAAATGTCAATTTCTTCATCTATTGCTCTTGTTTAACCCGAGAGAAAAGTTTGTTGCTTTTTCACTTGTCCTTTTGTAAGAATGTTTTGGAATACTACAAAGGATGTGTCTGAAACATGTCGACACTATGAAACGAATTTGATGAAGCCTCCAACGGACTAATGTTAGTATTCCTCCTATTCTTACTATAAAATCTATTTAATTAATTTAATCAGATTAAAAAAAATTAGATAAGTTAGTTAATTATAAAAAATGTGACACATTTTTCTTAAAATACCATAATCATCTTCTTAATACTCTATCTTCCTCTTCTACTTGATTATAATTGAAGGAGTATTCATAAGGATAATTTAGAAAAAATTAATAAATATGAAAAATGAGCCTTATATTCAGGATCAAAACCAATTCAACAATTATGTCATATATTAAGGACCAGAGGAGTACCTCATTTGTTGAAATTTTATTCTTAATAAATAATTATCATAATTATTGAAATATATATCTCACAATCAATTTCGTTTTTGGAAAATCATAAATGTATCAATTCAATTAAAACAATATTATTAGATCATTTTATGAATTTTGCTAGCCTCACGTTGATGGAGGTCTGTAAATATAAATAATTTTTTGCAATGTGAAATATCAATACATATATATATTAAAAAATTGTCAGATGTATATTGCTTACCAACCAGTTATGCTGTCAGTAAAAGACTAGGAAAAGAAAACTCAAATTGACACGTTTTTGAAGTTGATTTGATAGTAATTACTTTTTTAATGATTAGATTAATAGTACAAGTATTTAAAACAAATAATATAATAAAATAATATCTCCGGCCTTTAATATAAAAATTAATTTGACATTTAATTTGATCCTAAATATAAAATATTAATTCATTTTATCTTTGATATTTAATTTTTTTTTAAAGTAGTCCTTATAATAGTTGCATATATTAAATATTCAATCAAATAATAGTTCTAGCTAAGACATATGATTAGTAAAAATATTTTAAGAAAGATAACACATATTTAAAAAACTTTTTTATTTTACTTAAATTAGTCAACTAATTCTTATATTAAGTATTGGTACTTTAGTTGAAAGGATTTTTTGCATTCCTGGGTACAAGCAAAACATTTTTGGTTGACTCAATTCTGGAAGACCAAACCAGCTAATATTCTTTTTTTTTTTTAAATTAATACTACTATTATCATTATTGAAAGCGACAATTTGCATTTCACATGTATGCAAAGTCTAAAGTTATTAAAAAGCTTCCATTTTCTAAATTTTTCACGTTTATTCAGAAGTGTCCATTCATCAAGCAGCAGTCATTCACTCTTGCCTCGAAGAGTTCTGTAGCCGCTCAGGTCTGAAAGTTAACGTGCGTAAAACCCAAGTCTCTTTCTCCAGGAATGTGAACCATACCCGGAGGTCCGAAGTAAGCAACATCCTCGGTTTTCAACTTGCGGCAGATCTCGGCAAGTATTTGGGAGCCCCACTCCATCATAGAAGAGTCTCTAAAAGTAGTTATCAAGAGGTGGTAGACAAGGTGAAACAGAGACTGTCCAACTGGAAGGCTAACTCTCTTTCTTTAGCAGGCAGGATCACTCTGGCATCTTCCGTAACGTTAGCTATTCCAGAGTACTCGATGCAAACTGCCTCCCTGCCTATAACCACGTGTGAAGCGGTGGAGAAACATAATAGGTGTTTCATATGGGGGTCCTCCGAAGGTCACAGGAAACCGCATCTGGTAGCCTGGGATAAGGTTTGCACTCCGAAGAAGAACGGAGGTCTCGGTCTTAAGCATTTACGCCACCAGAACCAAGCCTACATGGCTAAACTGGGTTGGAACCTCATCAATCGTCGGGATGCTCTTTGGGTTAAGGTAATTAGAACCAAATATAGATGTGGGTCTGATTTGATACCCACTATAGATCACGAAAGACCTGGTTCGAACATCTGGAAAGGCATTAAAGACGCTTGGAAATATGTACAGGAGGGGGTTCAGGCAACTCAGGGCAATATTGAAGCACGTTGGCGATACGACAGGAACGATGTCTTTTCTATTAAGTCAGCTTATTCTCTCATTACACAGGACCAGCAGGTTCCGAACCCGATATGGAGTAAAATTTGGAAACTCCAAGTCCTTCAACGGTGCAAGACATTCATGTGGCTTTCCCTTCACAATAAACTTTTGACGAATCAAGCTCGAGCGGAAAGAGGTATGGTGACGACCCCAATTTGCACGTGGTGCGGCTCTCATTGCGAGAGTTTACTTCATGTTCTTCGGGACTGTGACGACACTAGATGCCTTTGGTCTTCCATGGTCAAATACCGCTTGTTGGACAGGTTCTTCTCCCTCGAGTTAACGGATTGGCTACAATTCAATATACGGAACCCCGGGGGCTCCTTCGGCGACGGTTGGAGTGAGTTTTTTGCCACTATTTGCTGGCTCCTTTGGTCACGTAGGAATGAGAGAATTTTCGAAGGCAAGTGGACCCCGAATGCAATGCTGATAGCCAAGGCAAGGCACATCCTCTCAAACCTGAAACAGGCTGCAACTAAACTCAGAGGCAGTAATCTCAATGGTCACCGTGTCACGGTACAGGGTATCAAATGGTCCCCCCTCCACCAGGCTGGGTTAAACTGAATGTTGATGGTGCCTTCTCCACGCTGCATGGAGCCAGCTGTGGAGGGATTTTGCGGAATCATGTGGGTTCCTTCATCAGCGGCTTTATGTTCCATCCTAAAGACGGTGATAGCCTGGCTGCCGAGCTATGGGCTCTGGTGTGTGGCCTGAAAATGACGTGGGACGTTGGTTTTAGGAAGGTTATCGTCGAAACTGATGCCTCTGAAGTGATTCGCTTGTTGTATCATTCTTCATATAAGGACCATCATCTTCTCCAGTTGATTTCTGAAGCTCGCTCTCTGGTTGATCGCTCTTGGGAGGTGGATCTGGGTCTCATTCCGAGATCAACTAACGAGGTAGCCGACCATCTAGCCAAGAAGGCGCTAAGGACTGCCCCTGGTTTGCATTTGTTCTCATTCATGACTGAGGAGTTGCGTGAGTTAGTAATGAAGGATTACACCGTGGAGGCTGCCACTTTTAGTTAGTTTTGTTTTGTCTCTTGTGTATCAAAAAAAAAAAAAGTTATTATGGGTGCTTTCTTAAAATAATGCTTATTTTAAAATTTTTAATACAGTCAAAGCACAATCGCACATAAGCAAATCAATTCAAATTCAAGATCTCATCTAAATGTGACAAACAATGTTACTGGCAGGACAAATTCTGGACCTAATCTACACATGGTGATGTATAGCATTATTATTAGGGCAACTTAATATTGATTTGTTTTAAAATTATAATTTTCATTCCTATTATTATATAATTATATGAATAATAATTATTTTTTATTTGATTATTTGACTGATTGTCGGGCCTAATTGAAAGTAATTCTATAAAAGGCAATTTTTTTTGCACTCACAATTTGAAACTTTATACTTAAGTATGCACTTTGTAGGTTATCCTCATTAGTGATAATCTGATTAATTATAATTTAACATGAATTTGAATTTTTAAATCTTGGTACACACACAGTATATATATATTGACTTTCGAATTTTTAGGTATGATTTATTCATGTTATACTAATAATTTTGTTATAAAGAAAAAGCTAATAATTAAATTAGATTTGATTTGAAAGATAAAAGAAAATGGTTTAGTACTCCTCCGGTCCTAATTATAAGACCCAATTGACTTATTTGAGGAGATTAAAGAAGTAAGTTAAGTTGGCTATTTATAATAAATAAGTGTTGTTATTCTTAAAATATCCTTACTAATTAAGTGTATTGGCTAAAACTATCATTATTAGAAGGATTATCTTAGAAAAAAATGCATAAATATAAGAGAGAAAATGGATTGGGTCTTATAATTAGGACCAAATAAAAAGTCAAATTGGGTCTTATAATAAGGACCGGAGGAGTATTATGTTACTTGCCCCATATGCAAGAAAGTAGGAAAATAATTGTAAGTGAAGGAAAGCTCGTCGCAGGTCAGCTTCCATCATCATCATCATCCTTTTCTCTCCTCCTTCATCATCACGAGAATCAACTTCTCTGGCCCTCTCCTTTCCACCTCCTCTGTCTCTCGCCACCTTCCCTCTCCTTTCTCTTTCTTTCTTTCTCTCTCTCTCGTTCTTCTCACAATGGGTTCGACCAATAGTAGACTTCGGTCTCGCCCCTCCACCTCACGAGTCAATGGCACTAACCGCTTCAGATTCTCCTCCCTTCTCTGCGGTGGCTCCGCCGCTCGTTCCACTTATGAGGTATTTCATCGTTGTCCCAATCCTCACGATACCTATCTCCTCATACCATTTCGTTTCTGCCTTTAATGATAATGATTTTCATTTGCAATTGGGCATACACGAGCCGGGGCAGATTTGGGATTGATCAGTCCGATCCATTTTTTTCAATAATCTGAGCGGGGAAACATAGTTGGTGTTCTAATCTAGTAGATTCTTTGGGTGTATGAAAAGATGATTGATAGGCAAGTTCTGTTTGTCATGCAAATGGCGAATCGATTATCGATGATGCAACTTTGTGATTGTCTCTCCCTTTTCCCTAATTCTTAGTGGTAGAAGAGATTTCCCCTTTTTTTTCTTTTTTTTTTTGAGAAAAAGAATGATTGCGTGACACTGTCCGTGCACGAATTTATTCGTAGCGTCTTGATTGTATTGGTTACCATGGTTACTTGACACGATAATGAAGTGTTAAGATTCTGTTAGTATGCCAGTGGGTTGGCTCTACGGGTATAATCGTTCTGCTGATAATATAGTCATGCTGTGACAAGATAAAGAGAGCAGGTAGAGTTTCTCAATGATATTCTGTTGTAATATGATAGAGTATCTCTCGATTTGTACTCTTCCGTTCCTGGGTGGAAACGGTGTCTAGTCAGTGTAAAGAATTAAAATTTAGGATATTACTAATGAATCCGACTTTTGCTCCACGTATATATAGAAGTTGTAATATTCCCATAACTTTTCGATAGATTTGAAGAACCATCGTAGGGGCAGGTTGGTCACGACCTCATTATGCATCAATGTTGGGACAATGATGCTTGTTTCCAGCGAAACAAAGCTTTGGATTAAGGATTAAAATTTAGGCATGAAACTTATTCTATTGGTCTCGTACATGCAATAATTTGACAATGGCCTTTAGCGATGCTTAAAGAGAGTGACTAATAACATACGTGACATGCTTATGTTGTCTTTTTAGATGGAAGATCAACCAAGTGAACTTCAGAGAGATTCTGCAACAGAATTTAATGATGAAAATCAGAAAGTTGTTGAAGAGTCATCTATATCATGTACAGAAGCTAGAATTGGTTGCAGGCCCCATACCGAAACTGCAAGCTCATCAGATACTAGAACTGAGTTGAGTGAGATTTCTACTGTTGAAGTTTCCTCGAGGAGTGTTTCTACTAGTTGTCAAACGAAGTACTTGTCTGAAAGTAAGGAGCTAGTTCCTCCTCACCAGGTAAGTGCTGTTCATAGTTATGATGAACCTTATAGGGATAGTAGCAACACAGCTAGTACTTCATTTGTAGAACAGCAGTCTTCAGATCCAGTCTCTGTAAATGTTTCTGCTAACAAAGATGCAGTCGGTTCAGTGGATAGTGGTGTTTCTCAAATATCTCGCGAGACAATGTATCCGAGGAGCTCAACCTCTCACGACCAAGGGGATTCCAATGCTGATAATATTTCTATTGAGAATCACACTCATTCAGCTGTACCTATCCATAATTCTGAATTGGATCATGTTGCTCAAGTTTCCAATTTGCCTGTAACTTCTGAGTTGCCGGAGAATGCAACCCATCAGGAGACAATACCTTCAGGTTTAGGTTTTCTTGTGTCCAATAGGGAAAGAGGACAAGGAAATGATAGCATGTTTCAGGTTGATGTTGTCGCAATATCTTCCAACGTTTTGTCTGATGGCAATGTTGGTGTCAGTGATCGCGATGCTAGAAGGGATAGTAGAAGACTATTTTGGGATGCTTTTTCAAGACGTAGTTCCAGAAGATTTGGTGATTCACGAACCTTTGTGTTCTCAGCTGGTGACGTTGATGATCCAAGTTCTCAAGATCAATGGCTTCTTGATTTGAGTAATAATTCCTCAAATGATGGGGTTGGAAATGATTCTGGATATTTGGGTAGTAGAATTCATAGATTGAATGAGCGGATGAGGCACTCAAGATCTGAGGTGATTTTCAATATTTTGATTATAGAATTCCTTATATCTTCTACTTGCATTTTGATAGTTATATTTGTGTTTTTTTAACTCTTTCACAGATCTGGGAAAGACTTCGTGGTGGCCTTGATGAGATTGGTCGGTTGAATCCTTCTTGTCCATTAGGACTCCACCCTGATGGCATGTGTTCATGCGAGTCTTTCCAGATGGCTGAGGAATCCAGTACTCGTGCAAGTATATCAAGAATAGCTATGCTTGCTGAAGCTCTATTTGAGGTCTATCCTTCTTTCAACTACAATGCTTTTTGTTCATGCCTAATTTTCCTTCACTTTAGTTTCCCACTTCTTATCTATGCTTTCTTGCACAGTAGAGCTCTTAAATTTTAGTTTTTCTTCTTTATATTTTCTACAATTAAGCTTTAATTTAATTTGTTAGATCAATGTTTTATGCTGATTGACCTTACCTGATTGGTCTCGTTTATTGGACCCAAAATGAATAACATTTTTTATATTTGCTGATGGCCTGTGGAAGTCTGATGTGAATCAAAACCAATTATTCTCTATAGGTTCTGGATGAAATCCATCGCCAACCTGTATCTCTTGCCCTCTCCATGGTCTCTCTTCCAGCACCAGAATCAATTGTAGATTCTTTCCCTCTTAAGTGTCACAAAAAAATTGACACCTCTGATAATGGCAATGATGCTGAACAGTAAGTCTTCTTGGTCCATTATATCGAGCAAATATATGTGAACAAAATTGTGGTCAAGCTGTGCTGCATGGGATAATTGTTTTTTGTATGTCTCTGGTTGTGGTTGTCATGGCTCTTAGGTTCTTATGCTTACTATAGCGTTATCTTTTTTCCCCCAAGATTATATTTGGTGATTATTTTTATTTTTCCTCCATAACCTCTTTGCTAGATGTTACATATGCCTGGCTGAGTATGAGGAAGGAGACAAAATACGCGTTCTTCCATGCAACCATGAGTACCACATGTCATGTGTTGATAAGTGGCTGAAAGAAATACATGGGTATTGCCATTTTAACCTTTTATTCTCCAAAAAAAAGTTCTTTGATAGATTTGATTTTGCAACGGAGGATAATGCTATGAATTCTACCGAGAGGTTGAGCTTTTTCACTGTGGGATTCTTGAAAAATTCTCACTCTACATTTAATTGTTAAAGATGATAATTTTGAAGTCCATCAAATAGTATTATTGTAAGCAAATGCAACCTTTTAAGAGGTAAAACTCTCAGTAGCATTACTTGCAAATCATCAAAGTATAAGGAAAATTTATAAAAGAGGTAAAAACATACTAATATTAAGAGTTGGGTTAATCTAGTAATATTTTTATAGACAAACTCTCACAATTGATCTGTTTCCCTTCATTATTTTTCATTATCCCCTCGTACCCAATATATAAATACTCATCTGTTTTTCTGCTTTCCTTTATTTTACAGTGTATGCCCTCTTTGTCGTGGGAATGTTTGTGGAGGGTCCAACGAGTCTCCTGCCTCTAACGCAGAAGTACCATCTCAATGACATTGTACATATATGAATGTAAATATGAGCATCATTTTGCTCCTCGTCAATGGCATGTATTATACAGTTGTAAGAGTAAGTTCACGTTACAAAGTGAGATCCTTATAGCTTAATCCTACTTCAATGGCCATTTACTGTCATGAGTGGACCAGCTTTTATATTGATTGTTGGCTAAAATGCGCATTCAATGGTTCTTAATTTCAGGTTGCCAGCCAGTGCTGGAGGCTTACAGTTAAAAGAAAAGGGAATGGTTGTCCATCACCCAGGGACAATAGTGCAATTTAGCCAAAGAGTAATTAGTAACAGATTACAATAAAAAGGAAGGAAAAATTGTTTCCAAAGAAGAGGCCATGTACATTTAGACATATTTGGCACAAGCCCAATTCACATTAGATTTAACGGATGATGCGCTATGGCATTCCTTTTCACAGATTTTGATGTGTTTTAGGCGTGTTTTCGGAATAAAATTCTTCATGTTCTTCATATCAATACATTATCAAATTCATACATATATATTACGAATAACACATATTTGGCACAAGCCCAATTCACATTAGATTTAACGGATGATGCGCTAGGGCATCCCTTATCACAGATTTTGATGTGTTTTAGGCGTGCTTTGGGAATAAAATTCTTCATGTTCTTCATATCAATACATTATGAAATTCATACATATATATTGCGAATAACTCAGTAATTACAAGGCCACATTTTAGAACAACTCTGCTGCTTTTTCAATACGTTTTGTGAAATTCATATATACGAACAGATCATTGAATTAAGTAATTGCATGCCTTCATTTTCTCTGAAACTCTTTTCCCTTCCCTTCACTGGCAAAATGGGTTGATGCTGCTTCTGCGAAATGAACCATCCTGATGAACAAAAAGATTTGGGTGGAGGTTTTCGCCATCTTCGAACGTTGTCCACTCCAATGAGTAGTTTTGTTTTCCGATGGGATTCTTGTTGGACGTATTTTCCATTTCTCGTACGTTGATTTTGGATTGTGTCCTCACATCCAGCACACCATCTCCATACTTGTCAGACCTTGGTCTTCAACACAAACACGTAGAAAAAGCACTGTAAGTAACATACTGTATTCTTGGAACTGACAAATATCTTTTTTCAACTCTTAGAGAAAATACGTACGAAATCTTCTGATTTGGGTTTGTGGCGCTTTGTCCTGTCTGGATCATTGCTAGCTCCTTCTTAATATTAGCACCGGAAACCTATTCATCATTTACGTCAATTGGTCTCAATGTCCAAAGAATCTCAATTTGGCTAAATGATAAATATGCTTGATTCATGCTGATGATATAATTAGAAATAGATAATGGATTGAAATTGAACGAGATGAGGAGAACGAATTCAAACCTTATCACTGAAAATATCAGAAGGAGAAGCATCAGAATGCAGAGTCTCTTTCATTATGTTGGTGTCAGGTTCTTCCCACGGCAACCTCGTAACAAGCTGTGAAGAACCCAGATAGTTGTCACCGTCGGATCTCTCATTCAGAGGCAACGGCGCTGTCTCATCGTCCGAATCATTGTTCTTCCATTTCTTAAACCATTGCTTTTTAGCTGATCTGGATGCTGGTTCTTCTCTTTCCTGGGCACTATGTCCCTCTCTATCCTCCCTTCGAAACAAAATCCTAAAGGGTTTCCTCTTCGACTTATCCCCACTTTTATGGTTCTCTGAGTCGCCATTCCAGAAGGGCTTCTCCTTGGCATACCCAAAGTCATTTTTGAAGACAGAAGAAGAGAATTTTGGTGGGGCTGAATTCAAATGCAAGGATGGTGAATCGAATATGCTCTTTCCTATCCTGTTCTTTCTGTGTTTGTGAGAAGAGCCAAAGCTAAAAACAGAGGCAGCTCCTTTAAATTTTGACCTGTTCTTAGAATCAGAATTCCCCTTCTTTATCAAGCACCGTTCATCCCTCAAGTCGATGATCGACCATTCTTGTTCTGAAGATTTCTCTTTTGCGTCTTTTGACCCTCCAACGATCACATCACTGCCTTCTATTTCAGCTCCTTGACCTGATAGTCTCTCCATTAATGGCCTCTTTGAAGCATGATAATCTTCTTCCGATATGCATTTGGCATAAAGCAGTTCCTGCATCCAAACACCAATCAAGTGAAAAACTTCAAATCCTTAATGACCTAATCAGCACGAGTAAGCTTCATAAGCTAAAATGAGCTGGGATTATCATAGTTTCAACTCTTAACAGAGACATTTACCTGTAAGAAAAGCAGCTTATCTCTGAGTATAAGGGGATGGTCTTGTTCAGGAGGAGAAGCAATGAGGGTCTCAAGCAAGTGATTTGAAAATGTGGACACTTCATTTTGAGCTAGAATGCCTTCTCTGTGAAGACCCATGAGGTTCAACATCTGATGGAAAGAGTCTTGCTGCCATTTGAGATTATCTGATTGCAGCCTCGACAGCCGGTGATCGGAGCAGGCCGGTAAACGCCGTCTCTTGAAGCTCGAAGGAAGAAGGTTCTTGCACAAAGAGGTGATTGAATCGTGGAGGGTGGAATAGTATGTGGGTGTGTAGGAGTAAACCATCTTGAAAGATTCAGACTTTGGGATTGCAGGGGACAGACTAAAAGTAATAGCGACAATAATATGAGAAATTTACGAGAATCGTGGGTGTCTGAATGTTGTATATGAATGATAGGTCGTTCTCTAGATCAATGGCGGGGTTGTTTTCCAGATGTTGAATTTTGGGGACTGCTCCAAACGGTCACTTGAGGCTGAAACTAGCCGTTGTGTGTGGCTTGTGGGGGCGCCCTTTCTCGGGGTATCTCCAGCGGCGTCGTTTTTACTCTATATTTCATCTCTTAAAAAGCATCAAAATTTAGTACAATTTCTTTCCTCCTATAATATTTATTTAACAAAACAAAAATTTCAAGAGAAGTCCCATGATAGCTTAACTTAAAAGAATAAATTATAAGAGGTACTAGCCTCTCTCATTAAGATTCCAGAATCAATTAAACATGGTGTGCTATTAAAAAAAAAATTGAGCTGTCTGTATTTTTATCAAAGAAAGAGTAATTTTTAACTATTCACTCAAAGATGTTAAGTGGACTAATTTTTTAAAATAAATAATCATGTGATTTGTATAATTTTTTTCTTTTAAGGAGAAATATCATTTACATAGCACATATAATTTAAAAAATCCAAAGCGTCTTGTCTCATTTGTTAAAATATGTATAAACATAAGATCCCACGTTAATTTAACCTTAAAAATTACAACAAATATGTAGAAATTATGTGTGATCTTGAAAAGTGAGAGTAGGACACATTAAGAAAATAGTTTCTTATTGCTTAATCTATGCATAGGCTTGGAATGAGTCATGAAATTTAAGAGGTGTTTGGCTAACCCAATAAGTACTTTTTCGCAAATCGAAGCAAACTCTTCCACATATTTACCTCGTATTCCGTAAAAGCACTTTTAAAATTATGGTTTTGATCTTACCCAAACACCCTCTTAAAATATATCATACTATTGAATACTGTATTTTTTTTCAATACTTTTTATGTCAATAAAATTAACATGATAAAATAAGTTGATAAAATCAACCTATATGGAATGTCCAGTATTAAAATTAAAAAAATAAAAAAAGAACTATTGATGAGCACAAAATCCAAGTCCAAATCTTTCTTTCTGATAACAAATTGAATTATCCTTTACCATATTGTGGTCCGTATTAGCACTTCCATTTTCATGATTGGACCAACGCACTACCCAGATTACCGCCCCACTTTCTCAAAAAACCAAACCAATTAATTAATGGAAAAATTACTGAAAACAATTCTCATCGCAAATTTTATTAGCCAAACGCAGCTAAAGACCCAACCCCTTCTTTTTTTGAATTAAAGACTTATGTTACAAGTAAGATTAGGGCCTCGACCTCTTACTTACAAGAGAGCGTTAGGCTATAAAGCTTTTGGCAATACATCTTATTTTTAATAGATACAACTCTTTTTCAACTATATGTAATACATATTTAAATATGTCCAAATTTTTCCATGATGTAAATAGTTGGAGATAAATTATATTGCATACAATTAAGAAAAGTAGCACTGCTTAAAAATAAGTTATACATAAATTTCAGACACTTTTGGGCAATAAATTTGGTAATGGAAGATTTTTCAATAATTTCCACTTTACTTGTTATAACATATTTAATGTCTTCTGAAAATGAAGATATTTTCGTTGAAAGTAGGGTCATATGGTCCATATAAGTTGTGGCTATCAAATCCCACGCCAGCAAAATGATTAAATGATTAATGACAATAGAAATCTTCCCAACATAATAATTTATTTACTTATTTAATTTTTTATAATTTTTTGACCTTAAATTCTTTTCTTTTTATTTGATCATTATAATATCCTGAATCACAATCATAAATATTGATCCATATACTCATAATTTATTAATTTGTGGTAGAAACGAAGTTAATAATTAATGATATATATGGCGCTCACTTATATTATATCAAAATCTACCATATTATATATCATACATAAAAGTAAGAAGAGGGTTATGAGTATAATACATTAATAATTTTTATTTTAATTTTGGTAATAGTTAAGTTTTATTCAATCATTTTATTTTTTTTGAAAAAAGCCCTTTACATATCGTTTATAGCATTCATACATATCAGTCTAACCATCAAATTATGACTATAAGAACGATATTTATAATTGAGGAAACTATAAGAATGTAGTAAAATTTAGAGAAAATTAATTAAAAATTAAGTCAAGCGGTCGAATCAAATGTTTTCTTCTAAATTTTAAAAATCAATTGGCGAAAAAAAAAACAATGATTTTATTTTGGCTCCACCATGCATCGGATGATTTGGTACGCAGGGGAAGCGTATCCACACAAAGAAAGAGAAAGAAAGGAGAGCGAAATGAGCGATAGGGACGGTTGGAACAACCAGAGTCACTTGCGTATGCTGCCTTCCTCTCCTCCTTTCATTGCCCTCTCATCCTTTCCCTCTCGCACCCTGACTCCTTCACATATATTTATTTATAAATCATTTTAATATGTTTTATATAAACTTTAAAAAACTTTAAAATTTAATAAGTTTTCAACTTTATTTCTTTTCAATATACATTATACCTCATATAAACAAAACCAACACAATAATAAAGAAAGGGTAAAATTATATGTCCATACAAAAAATTTCTCTTAGTACCTTATAAATAGGACTACAGGAGTACATATTTTGGTCTAAAATTTAGAAGGGAAAATCTTAATATTCAATAAAATTTTATTTTTATTTTTCTTTAATATATATAATATTATAATTTTTTAAAATGACATATATAATAATAAATAAAGAATAAAATAATATATATTACAATTTTAATGATGTGACTTATAAATAAAATGAAAAAAAAAATCCTCTCTCTGTGTTATAAATATGATAAAAGAAGCGTGTGTGTGTGTGTGATATTTATTACGTGTTGTTATGTTATTCTTATTTAACATTAATTTATTTTCTTGAAAGAACTATTACATTTTAATCTTCTTTTTAATTTCAGTCATAATATTAAAAATGTCTTATAAAATGTATTTTTAATATATATGTATATGTATATAAATGCTGGAAAATATATGCACACACATCTTATTCACTCATCTCTCGCATTTTCCAGCCTTCAGTCCACGTGTTTTCTCTTTTTTTAAATACAGTTACATTATTCATAAAATTAATTTGTGGCTGCTGAAAAGTTGAATTACTGTTTTAATGCGTGAAAGGTTTTGTGTTTTAAATAATAAAATTTTGTGCATTTTAGTGCACGCTTTTACTTAAAAAATAAATAATTAATGATATTAAATATGTACTATTCTTTCGATGGATGTTATTTAAAGAGGGAGCTTAATTAAAATTTTTAATTAATTCTCATAAATTCCTTTTGTTTCTGCTTAATTATGTTGATGAGTATGTTTTTAACAAAGAAATTAAATCATATTTTTGTTTATCACTCCCTTTCCTTTCAATGTTAATTTTGTTAGCTATTTAATATTTGAAATCACCTACTCATTTAGATTTGACGATTATTGAAATCAAATATGAATCATTTTTCTAACATTTCTTTGGGAAAATTATTACCACGTCCCAATAAAAGAATATACTTGTCAAATAATTCTAATAACAAGTACTCTTCTGGTCCTATTTATAAGTCACTTTCAATATATTTCACACAGACTAAGACAAATCTTAAATTTCGTTAACTTTCATTTAAAATTTAATAACTTTTCAATTTTATCTTTATTCAACAAAATAATAAATGAAGGTAAAAATTGTATATTCATATCAAAAGTTTCTCTTTCTGCTCTATAAATATAACAAAAAAAATTCATTCTCCCCTTGTTTTATAAATAAGATCACATGAGTAAATAATATGAATTTGTTAAACTTTTTAGTGATACTTTCCTTCTTTCTAGTCATAGAATTATTTTTTTTTTGTGGGGTCACATACGAAAAACAAACTTTTATGCTCAACCTGACCATCATCATTGTTTATCAACGGCCAGTTTTAATGCTCACACTTGACTACAAACACACATTGTCCAAAGAAACAAAGCCCTAAAAAAATTCCCAACATCCAACAAAATTAACAGTTCAGAAGGTTGCAGATATAGACAAAGTGATGAAAAGCTTGGGGGAAGACCCTAGTGAGAAAAGATAATGGTGGTTCTGCAACAAGGGCAGTGAGAATTATTTTGCAGCCATGGCTCCAAACACCTTGAATGGAACCTGTGTGCACATGGAAGATTTATGAGTGTGTCACCATTCTTGAATGATTCTAAGCACACTGCACACTCTTCTTGTTCTGTAGCCTTCCAGCTCAATTTTCCCCAACTGAATCTTCTGCTTCCATTTTTCTTTGACCCATATACCTCTATCTGCAACTCTGCTTCATTTCTCACCTTCTCTTTGCTGCTCTGCTTACTGTCACCAATTCATTCAGATTTGAGTTTGAAGAGAGAAATATGGATGATGACGATGAGTGAGAAAGTTGGAATGTTTTTTTATTTCAGATATGGTTAAATTAAATTAGAATGGATGAAAGAAAACACAGTTTCTGCAAAACTTTTTCTTTACGATACCTTTTATTCTCTGTTTTCCTCTGTGTTCCAAATCTCTCATCCAATCTCTGTTTGGCTTCTCTAGCTGCACCTCCCAGCACTTCTTGTGGGTATGCCTGGTAAATCAAGTTTCTTTGCTGCTTTCATTCAAAATCAGAAAGAAAGATCAATTAACAAGACTAAAATCTACAGGCACAGAGAGATAGAGAGATAGAAAGAGTACCAGTAAAGAGGAAGAAGAAAGAGATTCATGGTTGCTAGTGTACAAACAGAAAGAAGAGCGTCTAGTGGAAGTATGAGAAGCTATGGAGGAGGGTGAATCGGACCAAACTCCGCTCTGATGAAACCTTCTTCTTCGAGCACACTCTACTCCAGGAAGATTTCCGGCCATATCCCACAAAATTCTGGGAAACTAAACACCACGATGAACAACTCTGTTCCACAAACGGGTCACAGCTTGCAGAGTAAAAAGGATGGAAATATCATTTAGTTTTGTCTCAGTGATTACAAAAAGGAAAGGACAAAAATGGGCCCTTCGGAATTGACAGAAATTTCCACCTCCATGATTAGTTACATGTAGCTCTGCTTCTGTCTCTCTGTCTCTCTGTTTTTGTGTATAGAAACGTATGGTTTTGCAGAGAAGGAAAGGAAAACTCAAGAGAGAGAATTTATAAGGGGGAAAGTTCGGTGCCAGTCACAAGCAGGCCATCCACCCAAAAGCTGAAACAGTAAAAAAAAAAAACCTTAATATGTTCATTACATGTGAATGGATTTGATTAGAGTATACATAGGGGGACCAGATTTGGGTATTAAAATGGGGTTATGAGGATGAAAGGGAAATGCATAAATGAAATGGGGATAGTGAGAGGAACAGATAACTGAAGAAGGAAGGAAGAAGGTAGGTGCAAAGTGCAGAGATGGAAGAGAAACAAAAGTTGTTTGGGAAAGAAATTGACTTATAAACCATGTGTCACCTCACAATTATCGCAAATATTTGGTACATTCCTTTTTTTCCCCTACCTTCAGAGTCTTTTCAAGTCATTTTAAATGCAAGACTAATTTTTATTAATTAATGTTAAAACCTTTTCAATAAACATGTTTTTGAAAATTAGAACTTGTGTTCTCCTCATCAACTAATAGCTTATTGTAGGTATATTACCTTTTGAATAAGTTGAATGGTAAGCAAATCAATGTCCCATAAATAACGTTTTGAACAAGTTTAAAAAAGATTGGTCTAGGTGTCGAGGATACAACTCATATCTCATATATGATAGTCTTAAATCCTACTATTAAATACAAGGACATTGTTGATGAGCAGTTAATAAATATTTTTGCGAGTGTTTTTTTAATCTTGAGACATGTTTTAACCACAGCAAGCTATCAAGACAAAACCCATCAAAATTATTTTTTATTAAAAAAATTTAATTCGGATATAACCCCGTTGAATTTAAATTGGTTAATGGGCAGGATTTAATATACTGATCTGTCATTTCCAACTATGCGTTGTAAGATTATTAGAAACCCTATCAGTAAGCGTTTCTTATGAATTAGCTGGGGCTAATTTTTTTGGAAAAAAAATTAGAGGAATTTAACTTTTAATTAAGCTAGTATCTCATTTTACATTTTCAATCAACTGAACTAACATGAAGTGATTGGCTTTTTATTTACATATAATTATTAGGGATGGTTATAAGGCTCCACTAGTTGTTAAGGATGGGTATGAAGAAAAGGTGGATGGACAATGGAGATATGAGAAGAAAACAAAACTACTTTTGACATTATTGAAGATATTAAGCTTTTTGGGGTCTTTGGGGTTTATACTATTTTGTCAGCAGGCGAATGGACAAATCTTATACCGCTCATGTCCCACCAACTTGGAACGGTATAAAATGAATTCTTATACGGTGAATGATGTGGCCATTTTCTCCCTACCTAGTAGTTGTTTGTTTGTTTTATTTATATTGATTATATTATTATTAATAATATCATATCTGCAAAACTTAAAATTATATTTCAGGCCTCATTGACGTAAGGCCCGGATTGTTAATCCAGAATCACACTACTTGTTAAATGGGCCGACATTGATTTCTAGATTGGGCCACAATAAGCCATTACCCACCAAACTCATGTTTCATGTTGTTCCTGTTTGAATGCTTTAACTTATTTAGTAACCTACTAACAAATGTTGGTCAAAGTGGAAGGGACTTGAGTACTTTAAATATCATATCCTGAATTCGATACTTGAGGTAGTGTGTATGGAACAAATATTATTAAGAAGGGCTCCCGCTACGACACCTGACAGTATCCGAGAGATTAGTCTCTCACCGTTCGAGTGGGAGGATACTCTAAGTAACAAAAAAAAAACCTATTCAATAACCTTTGTTTAATATTTGATAATGTCTAAAACTCATTCAATAACTTTTGTTTAATATTTGATAATGTCTTGAACAGGGTTACTTCTAACAATATAAAAAGATAGTATAAAAAAATAAAATTTGTGTAGAGGAAAGATATATAAAACTATACCAAGGACAATTAATAAATACTTTTTCTTTTTTTTCTTTTTTTCTTTTTTTGGTGAAGATTAATAAATACTTTTTCTAAGCCTACACCAAGGTATTGACAACGACCCAAAGAACAGTTTACCCACTCTTAATGGTCAAAGTGACTCCTTTCATTTTAGTTATTTTTCATGTTTTCTTATTTGTTACTATTAAAAAACATGAATACTTGTAAATCATTTTACTCAGCATTTAGCGGAAGAAAGAACTTTTTAACGACTTAATCACATGTAAATTAAAAAAAATGTGTTTATAAAATTTTTTTGATAAAATTTTAAAAATTAGCATATCGTGGGGGGAAAGTAAAAACAGTAAAACACCTCAAACTCAAACGTTACAGACAGGGGAGAAGGTGAACATAAGAAGCCGCAGAAAATGCTAAAATAGCAGCAACAACTGATCGGACGATATTACCCCTCTGCAGAAACCACTGGTTCAGATGCACTCTGGGCCGCTCTTCTCCTGGACCCCACCCCGCAATCTTCGCGTCCTTTTCTGTTATTTGCCATTACGCTCTCGGTGCGAGGCTTCCCAGGGTTCTTCCAATTCTCGCATTCATGGCGGATCACGATCACGATCTCTCGCCTCTCTCTCGTAAGAACAAAGTCAGGTCCTCCTTTTGCTTGCCGCGTTATTGCTGCTTTCACCACAACACGGCCGCCAAGTCCAGGACGATTGGGAACTCGGCGCACTCCAAGGGCAAGTGCTGCGACTTCATCACGCGAATCGGGGCGCGCCACGGTCGCCGCCACTCCACCGATTTCCATTACGATGCTCTCAGCTACGCGATGAATTTTGAAGACGATTCCGCCAGTAACGACGGGAGGTACGTCGGTGACTTAATAAGGCGTGATTTCGCAGCGAGGTTGCCGTCGTCGCCATCATCCATGAGGATGTCGTCGAATTCATCGAGGTCCGGGGAACTCGCCGCATTTAGTTGATCTCGAATGAGGCAGTGGCGCATCGGAAAAATTAGCGAGAGGTTGGTGGCGGAGACCGCCGGAGCTAAGAAGACGTGAAGTTCTGCACACGGCGGGGATGGAATAATTTCTGTGATGCTTCGTCCTCTTGGTTTTTTTGTTGGTATGATTTTGTACAGAACATCAGACCGTAGCAAGATGCTCACTAATTCATGCAGCATGAAGGGTTTGATTTGGGCCAGCTAGCCTGGAGTTCCCCAGTTCTTTTATTCCTAAAAATTGGAGGAGGAATCAATAGAAAGCTGGTTTAGTTAATAAAAATCCATTTTAGGGCCATCGGATTTTTTATGGGCCCACTTATTCTGGTGAAATATCTTGTTCAAGCATGAAAAAATCATTAGATCATATTTGATTTACTATTACCAGAATTACTTTAAACTTAAATTGGTGAAATTGGAGGATACCTCTACGCAGGGGGAAAAAAATCATTGAAACCAATAAAGAGTGGATCTAGTAGGGGGGAAAAAAAACTAATCCTTTATGAGATGACAAACTAATGTTGATGCCCACATAAATTCTGTCCCATAAGAGAACATTTTTGTGTTAGAGAATTGAAGCTTTTTTTGGTAATTGATCAGGTTTAAATGATCAATCTTACTTAAGGAGAATTAATTAATTAATAAAAATAGATAGAGATGTAGATTGATTTTTTTATCATAACTTCGAATTCATTATATCTTTAGGGTTTGAATCAGGTAAAAAAAAAAAATTTAAGGAGAACACTAGTGTTATTTTTGTACTAGAAACTCGCAAAGATAACTGGATGTTGGGTCTTTCTTTTTTAATTGCACGCATACAAACATACTAACATCACAATCAAATCTCAAATCTTAAGCATGACAAGTCGTACTGTCATTAGAGCAACTTGATGTTGGGTCTTCAGGCAGAGAAGTAAATAGATGGTGGGTCTTGAGTCTACAAAGAACAGAATGAGAAATGTTGAGACCAAAGTCTTCGTCGTTGCAAGCATACCAGACAGCATTAAGTCACCGCGTACGAACAAATCCCAAATGGCTTGTCATTGTGTTGTGGGTACGTATCCCGCCTCTAAAGGTTACCGCGTTCCTCGTCAGCCGCCTTATTCCGGTTCAACATCTTCCAAGTCTCCAATCTTCATTCTACTCCCTCCATAATTATTTTATTTACCAAGCTATGAAAAGAGGGAAAAAAAATTGAAAAGATTGGGGGAATTATCAGTTCAAACAATTATAGACAATCAAACAGGTCAAGAATGATACGCCCAATAACACAAGATAAATAATTTCTATCCCTGTCATTTATCACACCCACATATAAATCACTTTAATATATATTGGCCTATATGTATATTTATATTTATATGTCGCGTACGAAGATAAGGTTGAATGTGGAACTTTCTTCTTCAACAAGCAGTGCCGTAGCACACGATATAATCCATAAAATTCAAAACAAGGCCCCTCTACGCATCTCCAGACTGTGAAGCCAAAGATCTTTCTTCGAACCCTTCCCCATTTCAACCAATTATTCAACTTCCATCCTTCTTCCTCATCACCTTTCATATTTCCACATAAGTGTTCCTTCTCTTATATATATAAACAATAATACAACCCTCCGGAAACCAGTCTCCTTCAATTCAATAATGATGCCTTCCATGGCTTCTCTCGAAGGCCAGCCCCTCGTGCAACACCACGACGACGACGTCCATCAGCATCTCCGGGAGCTCGACGATACAACAACCTCCTGGTGCGGCGGATGCTTTCGGATTTTCGGATTCGGACGGTCGCGGGGAAGCTCCGACGGCGGCTGCGGAGGAGATCAGAGTGAGTCTTGGGTTGGGGAGAAGTTGAAAAAGGTGAAGGAATTCTCAGAGGTGATCGCAGGTCCCAAGTGGAAGACATTCATAAGGAAGATAAGTATGTATTTCAATGGCAGGAGACAAAATCCCAGGTTTCATTACGATCAGCAGAGTTATGATCTCAACTTCAACAATAGTGACGATGATGATTTAGACATGCCTCCTAGTTTCTCTGCTAGGTTCACTGTTCCTCGTCCTCAACCTGAATCCTACTCCTCATGAATATGTTTCTCCTCTGTGATTTTGATGATCATGTTCCTCATTCATCGTCGTCCCCTACTTGATTTGCTGTCTTATCGCTTTTCTTTCAGAATACAGTCATTGTTTGATGTACAAAGTCTTAAGCTTTTCGCCATTTTCATGAGCTTATTAAGCGAGAGAGGGATTTTTATTAGGTTTCCAGAGGTTACGAAAATACCTTGATAAAGTCAAAGCTGATCAGGAAACTAAACATGACGTGCTCATTAAAAGAACATTATTTTAAAAAGTTAATAATTAAAATGGAATATTTATTTATACTGGGCAGTTAGTAGTGGTTGTATTCGAACATTATGAGAGGTATATTCTTATCTTATCATACGCCAAACAATAATCAAAGAAAAGTGGTGAGAAAAGTCATCAAGTATCTGGTGGGTTTTCGAGGATTCCAGATGGGGGCAAAAAAAAAAAAGGGTGTTCAAATCAATGGAAATTTGAAGTCAGAGTTGGCTTTGTTTGAATGAAAGAGATATATCAGTTGGAAAGTTTTTGCAAATTGCATCATTATTACAGGGTTATATATTCTTTTTCCTCTCTCAAACGACAACAAAGGAAACTTGGAAACAACTTGCTAAACTCTTGGTTTTATACCTTCTCTTCCAAATCTACCAAACATGACTTGCAAGTTAATCCTTAAAAATGTTAAAAATTATCACAGATGTACTAGTGATGATATATATATATGTAGAATAAGACATACCTTAATTATATATATAATGATCTTAGCTTTGTAATATTGTTATTGTAATATTTTTATAGCTCAATATAAAAACAGATTGTTAATTTGGGTAACGAATTAGTGTGAGCAATATATATAATATTGCAAAAGTATTGGCTGTTTACTACAAAACTTTAAAATGATGGGTTAGCCTTCACACCCTCTTTGGCGTTGCAGTGATTTTATTTATTTGAGTCATGAATTCAGATAAACCCATTAATTAATTGGAAAGAAAAATCATTTTCCTGTTTTCTGAAAGATTTAACATCCTCATTTATCATTTAATTCCCTAAAACTTTATTTCCCGTCTTCAAATGGCGATAATTATGAGAGTTAACAACTAATTAATTGGATGTGGATGGTTTTGGCAAGACAAGAATATCACTGTCAATCACTTCCATATATGACTATTGAAACGCAGTACGATCATTTTTAACACGAAATTAATTACAAATAGTTAAAATCTGTGGTGAACAATATCGCGCATTTATTTCCTTTCTCAGCACCAAATTAGTAAAATTGCCCTCTAACAATACAATATATAGGCGTAAATTGATGAAGTAAATTATAGTCTCTCTTTTCCTTTTTTTTTTTTTTTCAAATGTCACGTGTAATAATAATACAGTGAAAATATAGGCGTAAATTGATGAAGTAAATTATAGTCTCTCTTTTCCTTTTTTTTTTTTTTTTCAAATGTCACGTGTAATAATAATACAGTGAAAATATATAGGTATCAGCATGCTTCATAGATCGACTCGATACCCACTGAATGGAATAGAATGTGCAAGCTTCAAACCATATATATATCAGGTATCGACCATCAGCCTCATATACAACATCAATACTAAGTTTTAGTTCGATCGTTTCCAGAATCATGCCTCCATTGCTTCAGGTTCTTGCTGCTGACTGCTAAATCTTCGATCCTATGAATCCCATTGAAGAATCCCAATAGTTTTGTGCAGTGTTCAAAATATTCATATCATCAATCACTCCTTCACATAAAGCTCTGGTTACTGGTTTCTCCTGCATTACTACTATCCAGATAACACATTCAGAAAACTGAACACAAGAATCTGATATAGGTAACTTCAAGCTTTTGGATACTAGTAAGTTTACCTCTTGCGCTTGCTTTTAGAGGAGGTAGATGATGAAGGATTCGTATGCCAATTCCTTTTCCTTTGATTAATAAACCAGTTATTTATTTGCTTTAGTTGTAAGCCGGTTTCCTGCACCAGCCTTGCCTTGTCTTCCTCCTATATATGTATATATAACAAACAGTATGATCAAGCTCATTATTACTGACACACACACACACACACACATCATGCATGTGAAAGCGGATGAGAGCTTACAGTAGGATAAGGCCATTTAGAATGTGATTGCCACCAAGATTTCAAAAGCGAGGTTGTGTCACCCGGCAGCTTCCCCGCACGCCTCTTTCTCAGAATCTCTTCTCGTATATCCACAATCTTCTCCTTGTAACCCTAATTAGCGAAAATAAAGCATGTTCAGATAGATCTATCAAGTAAAGATTCTGTAATAAATATATCAGTTTGGCTATGTGTGTTATTTAAAGATAGAATCAAGCTCTGACACTGATTTTAATGAGACATTAATTCTGGAAGAGTGTGTGTGTGTGTGTATTACCTGCTTTAATTCATGCTTCAATTCTTGTCTCACACGCTCCATCAAAGATCTTTCACTTTCAGTGGGAACAAGAGGACCAAATCCTAGGCTGTCAGCACCATCAAGGCCACCTTCGTATAGGTTAGCATTGCTCTCTACCTGCTCATCTTCATCGTCCGACATTGTTGCTCCTGTCCCTTCTCCTGGAGACACACCTGTTTCATGCGCCATATATAACCATGTATATGTCACACTTAGGGTTTTCAGTCTTCAAGATCTAACATGTGGAGAAAATATTTTAAAACTTTTCTCAACTATGATATTTAACGCCAGTACTATAAATAGTTAAGAATTGACTAATTCCTTCATCACAGCCTATTTAATGTAAAGATTGAATCTTCACCGTCACACGTAATGCAAGATCACGTAAATGATTCAATCGAGGTGGGTGATCAGAGATTATAAGGCTAGTCTACTAAAGAGCGTAAAAAGTTTTTAGGAAAACAGATAATTAAGATTTCTTTATTATCCCAAGGTAATTCTCTTCAGTTTATAAAATGATCAGGCATGCTGCCAAAATTTCTATACCAGTGCATATATACGCAGTAACGATGTAACTTTCATCCAAGGCCTGGTTTCGAAAGATTAAGATATATAAAAGGATGGGCTTTGAGAAATGATTTGATTATATATGTACACACACAGAGATATGTGAACAAGTTACATGAACTTGTTTTAAATTTAAGCCTAACGAGCATAAATATATATATATGAGGGGAAAGAAAAGGAGTAGGATTATTTATATCTTCAGCTCATGAACAAAGTCATTGTTTACAAGGGATAAGGATTAAAAAATCATATATGATAAGATATTTAATTATTAAATTACTCAAATATGCTTTAGACAATATGATTATAGCCATTATTAAAAGAGCAATATTTTATGCTTGAGCACAATGAAGCAGATCCCACTCCGTTCGAAATAGTCAGAATCTAACATGACCATAAATATCAAGTGGTTTGCTACTTTAAAGAGAAAAAAGGGTCATATTGTGATTATGATGAGAAATTACCAGTCAAGCCTTGAAGAGATTGCTCAAGCTCCCAACAAGCCATGACAGCTTCCATGGCATGAACTCGGACATGTTGTTGCAGTTGTTCTTTGAAAGCACAGAGCAATAGAACATAATGTGTCTGCTCAATAAAAGACAAAAGGCTTAAATTGGAAATGAGAAATTAAAAAAAAAAAAAAAGGAACAGGTTTCATCTTGAAAAGCAGTTAAGACAACTGGGAAACCCGAGGATTTCTGATCCCAATGTAGCAAACTCAATAAATGCATAACCCAGCTAGCTACCTAGCTCATGCATACAATGCAACAGTAAAAAAAATGCCAAAACAAAGAAGATGCCAACTCACTTTTTCATCACCCTCAATAATTCCAAGGATTTAATCAACTTTGTTAGAATTGTTTTGACATTTTCTCGCTCTCTGATCAATGTCTGGAGGCTGAGGATTGTAAAGTTTCGAACTTGAGAATTATTTTAACCCAAAAAAAGGTATATTGTTTTGCGTATTTGATTAGGAGAGCCTACCTAAAGATAGGCCATTCAGGCTGATGGACAGATTCCCTATTTGCCACTCGCTGCAGGAGCAGGACAGATACTGTGAACAGTTGGTACAGAATCACTAAAGGTCCCATGCCCTCATTATTGTACTTTGGGCATGCCTCAAAGAAACGTACATTTGGGAGGGAAAGTGTCAAGCAAATTTTGGTGTGTGAGATACAGATTAGAGAGAGAGAGAGAGAGCGCTTCAAAATGTTCATTAATGGTATGTGATTCTTCATCCCAGAACTCATTCTTCAAGAATTGAAACTACTGAACTCTCAGCAAAAAGAAGAACAAGAACAAGGAGAAGAAGAAATGAACTGAGCCATCGATCGAAGAACATGTGCGACGATTACGAGACACATTAACAGAAAGAATTCACAAACCACTCCAAAACTGTGCGTAATTAATAATTTCATAGATGGATATATCAGATTCACAAGTTCACTACCACGAACTAAAATATAAAGGATAAACACTTTCCCTGAGTAAAATAGACTAAAGGAAGGTCTGAAATTAGCGGAATAAGGGGGAAAAAATCAGGAAAACAAGCTTCACAAGAATGGTCATTTATATTTTTTATTGAATAAACCATGCTTCACAATGCATCACCAATCGGTAGACACAATCATGATACGCCCAAGAAGCAAAAACACTGTACGGATAAAAGAACAACAATATGTCACACAAACATCGTTAATTTCTTCATCTCCAGGCTATGGATTAAGAAAACGCGGTAGCGAATAGACAGGAAGGAAGAGAGAAGGAGAGAGAAACGAACCATGAACTGGTCAAGCTCCTTCTCATCAATAACGCCATGTCCAAGTCCAGAGTATTTCTCAAGCACGCGCTGTGACTGTTGAAGCTGAGCGTCGATCCTAGGAAGCTGGTCCACCGGAGTGGCAATCCTTAAACACGACACATGAGCCGACAAGAGCTGGTCGTAAAGGGGGTGTCCCAAAATGTCAGCTTTGTACTCCGCCAAATCCTCAGATTCACAATTGCCGTCGCCCCGGCTCCGATCGCCGCCGTCTCGATCGTTGCTCCTCTCCGACGAAGGTATCATACTCCCCCGAACATCATCGGCCGAGTCAGACTGCAAGTGGAGAAAATTCTGCTGCCGGAGAGACGACCCAGCGCTATTCACCAGCCACGTCGGGGCCGGACCTCCCCCGGCGCCGGCTGAGAACGGCATCATCCGCTGCATGTCCCTGCTTTGACTTAACTGTTGGTCATCCGTGAAAGGCTGAAAAGCCAGTTCTTGAGGCAAGTGGTCATGAAAAGCCATTTCGCATCAGCTCTTTTCCTCTGCCTTTGACTTCACGCTCACATTTTGATGGGTTTTTCTTCCATCAATCAAGAACACAGACACAAATAGAAAGTCAATAACTTTTTTTTTCTCGTGGCAAGAAATAAAAAGGACAGCGAAAGAAGACGAAAGAAAAGTATAGTCGTTGGGTCGCCGGACGGACCGGTGGAGAGACAAATCAGAGTGAGAGGGGAAGAAGAAGATGGATGAGATATCAGTTTTTAAAAGGAAAGAAGCAAGACGAAGACTTTGGGCACAAAATCGATGGAGGGTAAGAGAATGATCCAACGGTGGGATTGATGATAACGTGGTGAGATTTGTGGTGCGAGCTTATTGGAGATTTTCTGCAAAATAAGACAAAGATTGATCAATGATGCGGGAAGCAGCTACGTGACATTAATCATTATAATAATCCTTTTTTCCTTTTGCCCTTTAATCACCATTTCCCATCCACAGTGTTTTACAGTGACGCGATCCTGTTCTTCTTCTACGCAGTACGTGTTATGTTTTGAGAATACTTTCAACTTTAATAAATTGCTCTGTTTCTAGAAGTGAAGCTCTATGTGAATTGTCCGGGTGAATGAATCATCAACGAGAATTAAGCAAGCAGAATTGATTATGTTGATTCAGGTTAATAATTAATATAAGGGAAAGGAAAGATGTCAAATTAAATGCAATCTAATCTGATTGGAACAAAAGATGGGAGATAATAGGCAGGTAGAGAGGGCTAGGTGGTTCGCAGGGATTGGCACAGGTTTTGAAATATGGCTGAAAACTTTCTGGGAAGGCACCTTTTATGCCTTTGAAGTGACATCTTACTTTTCAATTCTCTTTTCTCTCCCTTTCTCAATCCTCCAAAAACCAAAATGCTTTTAGGAATATCTAAGAGTGTATATATTTATATATATATTATCATATAATAGTTTACTTATATCTTAATATAAA